TCTTTCTTAGGAATGTGCGGTTACTATAGAAACTTCGTAAAGAATTACTCTACAATCGCCTCTCCTTTGACTGATCTCACTCGACTTGACACACTGTGGGACTGGAGTGATGAGTGCGAGGCTGCTTTCAAACGATTGAAGCATGCACTCATGAATCATGAGGTTCTCATGGTGCCCGATCCTCAGAAGCCTTTCATTGTGACCACTGACGCAAGCCAATATGGCATTGGCGCAGTGTTGGCTCAACAGGACGGGACGAAGTTGAGACCGATTGAGTACATGAGCAAGAAAATGCCATCAAAGAAACTGGCAAAGTCCACCTACGAAAGGAAACTCTATGCCCTCTACAAGGCACTTGTCCATAGGAGGCACTTTCTGTTGGGACAGTTTTTCTATATGAGAACTGACCATCAGACCCTTAAATGGATCAAGACTCAACCTGCTCTTTCTGATGCACTCAAGCGTTGGATTGAAGTCATAGAATCTGAAGGGAGAGTACAACAAGGTTGCAGATGCGCTGTCACGTAGGGCAGACTACCTAGGGGAGCTAGTTTCCGAATTTGGCGTATCTGAGGAAGTGACTCAATCGTTGGTGGGAGCCCTATCAGGAAGATCCTGTCACGATGGACATCATACGCAAACTGTAGGCGAAAGATAAGGCCACAGAAGATGAGTTTGTGATGGTGGACGGGCTACTCTTTCTGAGAAAGGCTGGGATTGAACGTTTACTGATTCCATCTAAGGAAGATTTGCGCAGTTTGTTTCTAGGTGAATGCCATGACGCAACTGGACATTTTGGCTACAAAAAGACCAGTGCCAATCTAGTACAGCGATTTTGGTGGCCCGGAATGCTAGATGATGCAAAGAAATATGTGGAGACCTGTCAGGTCTGTCAGTGGGACATGTCGCGAACTCAAGCACCGCTTGGGTTGCCGAAGCCCTTACCTATCCCTGCTGGTCTGGAACAGAGTGTTTCCATGGATTTCATGGACACCTTGGTAACCAGCAAGAGTGGCAAGAGGCACATCTTTGTCACCGTAGACCGATTCACCAAGTACGCTAGACTGATCGCCATGCCAGAGACTGCCAGGACTGGGCACGTCATCAAGTTGTTTGTGGACAACTGGGTGCGTGATTTTGGACTGCCAAAGTCAATCATTAGTGACAGAGATGTCCGATTCACAAGTGAGTTGTGGAAGAAGACTGCTGAGCAAATGGGCAGTCAACTTCAGATGACTTCTGGGAATCATCCTGAAGCCAATGGACAGGCCGAACAGATGAACAGAGTTGTGCAACATCTGCTGAGGCACTACATTAAGCCCAACCAGGATGACTGGGATGAGAAATTACCTCTCATAGCCAGCCTGTAGAACAACGCTGTGCACAGCACAACCGACGTTAGTCCTAACCAACTGCACTTGGGATGGAAGCCTAGATCTGCTCTAGACTTCCTCCTACCTGAAAACCGACCCTCTGCAACTCCAGGCACACTTGAGTATGGTGTGGAGTATGAGAAGTTGCTGCAGCAAGCTGTCGAGCACATCAGGAAATCTCAAGAAGCAATGATTGCTTCTGAGAACAAACACCGTCGACAGTCCACATTTCAGGTAGGGGAGCGTGGCTGGGTCAAGGCAATGAGCTAGGGCAAGAATTCAGTATCTCTCGAAAACTAATGCCTCAGTATTTTGGTCCCTGGGAAGTCCTGGACATAGTTGGGGATGATTTGGATGGTCCTTCCTATGTTATCCGTATCCCTGGTCACCTGCGCACTTACCCAGTTTTTCACGCCTCAAAGCTTGCACCTTTCGTTGAGACAGATCAATTTTCCTCACGGAGATCGATGCTGCCCCCAACCATGGATGGCCACGTGGACATCGACGACATTCTGGAACACAGAGACATGGCTGTTCCAAGACCTCTGGGCCGAGGAAGACCTCCTAAACCTAGAAGAGAATACAGAGTCAGATTCAGGCATCACACAGATCCGAAAGAAGATCGGTGGTTCACCAGAGAGGAACTGGTTGAAACAGCTCCTCAGGTGGTCGCTTAAGCATCTCAGTGGACTTTCGAAGCTAAGGGGGATGGAATGTGAGGAATGAGCCCTCAAAGGGGCCTTGCCGTGATGTACATGTTATGGGCTAAGGCCCCCAGCAAGCCTCGTGCCCGCCCTAAGTGAAGGCGGGCCAGCAAATCAACGAGAGGCCTTTTCATTCAACATTTCATGAAGTGGGTGCCAGACAGTTGCCGCACGCCAGTTGGTTGGAGTGCACCGAGTACCAGATCCCTGCAAATGCAGAAGGCCCAGGGCCCCAAAATTGGTTAGGCCCTGGGCGCATAAACGTGAGGCCGACATTGCATGCTGGACGTAGAGGCCGAAAATGTCGATGGGAAACCGGTCCACTATCTGAATCTGGACGAAGGCCTTGATGAAAGGGGCACAACTGTATTACGTGGGCCCCAACCGCATTGGGCCTGGGTACAGGTACTGGGGCCCAGGCGCAGGCTCAAGGGAGACCGCCCACACGCAACACTGGCATATAGGCAGAGCGGGCAAGTGGGCCGGCACGCTGCTGCATTGCGAGTGCAGGTGCTGCGCTGCGCTAGGCTGAGTGAAGGCAGGCTGGCGCTAAGCGGTAGGGCGCAGCCTGGGTGCAGGGCGCTGGCAGCCATAGCCGGGCTGCTGGATAGCGCTGAGGGAGGTGAGGGCGAAGGTGGTTCTTCGGAAGGTGAAGGGCGCTGTGTGGGATAACAAGGGAGAGTGAGGGAAGAGAGACAGACGTACCTGGTGGAGAGGAGGTCGGCATTGGTGTTGACGTCATCACTCGCTGGTCGTCAAGTTGTCTGGTTGCTTCCATGCTCTAGTTGTAGGTATAGGCTGTAGAGTAGATAGGGCGCCTGGCGCCATTCAAGAGAGAGAGCTACTTCGGTTTATGTTGTTGGTGTTGCCCTATTGGGCTTGGACATTGAATCACGGCTTTTGCTGTATCGTTCTCAAATGGATGGTATCTTGGTTCCGATGTGCTATCTGCTCTTGCTTTGACTACTCGGACTTCAGTGTGATTTTGCAATTGGTATCTCTGTGCTTCGTCCACATTCATGTTCCTTGCAAATGAATGAATGAACCAGAATCAATGTACGGATCCTTTCCTTATTGCTGGTCTCTCAAGAAGTCCACCATAGCCATCCTACACGTTCTTCTACTACTTGATCAAGCCGGTGGGTATGGTGGACCATCGAAGCCTAGCTGCGATGTTCAAAGGACAACAGAAGGCTACCACGCCTATCCCACTATGGCCGCCATGCCACACTACACCCCCGGGGTCTTCCTTTCAGGTATCACCCCACTAGGGGCCTCCCAGGTGCAGTGCCAACCAAGAAGATGAAGATGCAGACCACCATAGCCAAGGTAAGCTCCCTTCTTCACTCACCTCCTTCCTCCTCCTCCTCCTCCTTTCTCTTTCTCCCTTGCTTCTACCTCCGCCCTTGTCACCTCCTTCATAGCCAAGGTGGGGGCCAAGCTCTGCCTCCTTCCTCCATCTAGTGCTTCCTCAGCTGGGCGGTTGCTCCAGAAGCGTGCCTCCAAGCTGCACGCAAGCAAATGATGGTAAGCACTTCGCGGCGCCTCTTGATATAACTGCCAGTACCTCTCCACCGGTGACTTCCAGGCCATGCGGCGGCCTAGGACTTCCGGTTCCCTGCCACTTTTGGCGGGAACATCATTGCAGCCTCTATTTCACCCGCTGCAGGCTCTAGTGTTATGGACTCAGCCAGCACTCGATCCCTGGTCCGCGGGTTACCACCCGCCAGGCTGCTATTTTATTTTTGAGTCTCTGATCTCCGGTTCCTGACTGTTGGCGCCCTCTGTAGTTGGCGCCCGTTCTCAAATCCCTCCTCTGGCACTTTCGGATTTCGATACTTGGCGCCATCCGGGCATTCTGGCACCCAGTCTCAGACCTTCGATTTTCAGTTCAGCCCCGAGGCAAATTTTCTGGATATTCCTTCCTCTGGCGCAAACTCATCCATGCTGACCCAGATGAGGTCTCCCTCTATGAATAGGGAAGGTCTGCGGCGTCGGTTGGCTTCAGCAACCATATGTTCCTGCGCCTTCTACATTTCCTTGATGGCCTGTCACATTTCATCAGCGAACTGCTTGGTGAACTCTGTTGTTCCAGGAGGATACTCTTCAACTGTCGATCTGGAACCAAGAAATCAACTGGTGTACACGGCTTCCATCCAAAATGAAGAGCATTAAACACTCTCCACCTTAGCCAGTTTTCGATCCCGGTCAACCCAATCAGGCCGGATTACGTGATGCCGCACGTGCTGAATGGTGCGGTTCATGCACTCAGTCTGTCCGTCTGTTTCGGGGTGATTGGCAGAACTCATCTTGAGTTACGTACCAACAATCTCCATAAGATTGGCCCACATCTCACTAGTAAAGCGGGAATCCCTGTCGCTGACGATATCCTATAGGAACCCGAATTCTGAACGCCAATGGTCCCAGAATAACTCAACCACTTCCTTCGTCGAAGAATGCCGTTGTTGCATAGGTATTAAGTTACTACTAACCTGAGAAACTTGGAAACCGGTTAACGATGACAAAGAGTATGTCGTTTCTATCCTTTGATGCCGGCAGCCCATTCATGAAGTCCATGGAGGTTGGGAGATATGAGGAGGATGAAGTGAGTTGGCGAGTTTGAGGGAGATTTGTCATTGTCTTTGCTGGTGTACTTCTTCTTCTTCTTCTTTCTTTCTGATTTATTCTACTTCCTCTATCTATTTCTCTTTCCAAGTTCTTTTATTTCATTTGCAATTGAACGGTGTTGTCATAGCCAGGATCATATCAAGAGTAAAACGGGTGTTGTCATCTTTTCGACAGCGCCGTGAGGCATCACCAACTGTAATCGTAAAGCACTGTGACACTCATATTATGATTTTGCATTTACATTACACCATACACAACCATGGCCAGTTGAAGAATATGATATGCAGGCACCCACCGCTTGTTTCTCCTTTGCATATCTCAGCTGAGCTGCTGCATATTTTGTAACAGCCTGCACGAACATATTCACCGGAAGCTTCAGTCAACCACTATGGACACGCAAGTTGGCACAACATGACTGTTGAGGGAACAAAACTCCCTGTCTTCTGTTTGATCCATTTCACACCATTTTGTGACTGCAATCTGTAGTAATGCTATGTGAGGCACGTGAAGCATTCTGGGGCCACCGTTCACCAGGCAGCAAAGGAGTTGTGCTGACCTTCAGTTTGACCTTTGAACATGTGATACAAGATCAAGTGAGATCGAATAGGGGGCCAGATAGCACACGAGGTCACCTGATATAATGTCAAGCCAGATCCAGAAGGGGCCTGAAAGTTCCTTAGCCAAAGAACCTTGGTTGGATAGGAATGGAAAGAAGTTGGTCTGAGAACTTGCTAGTGCAATAAACGACACAGTTTCAGGTCTGAGAAATGCGAGTTTTGCTGAGCATATTTGGGTGCTTGTTGAGATCCTGAGTCATGCTTGGAGTTGAACTCAGATCTCCGAGATTGCTTTGAAAATGGCCTTTCTTGGACGAATATAAGTCTATTCCCATGAGTACTGTGTTGCATGAGTGCTTCCTGTACTCACCTCTGTCCGCGCCTTGATCTGTGACTCAGAGAAGGATTTCCCAGTGAATGCTGAAACTGGAGGGGTAATTTTGTCGATTGGCTACGATAGACAGGTACCTGGATCTTCGTGGAGGCAAATTCGTAATTTTCAGACTGACGCATTCACCTAAGACTGTGACTGGATTTGAGAATTCCAAGACATGAGTGAGAAATTGATGTACTTTAACAGTTCAGATGCACACTCCCAGCAGTCGAGCTGCCATGAGAAAAAATATATAATACGAATTGTAATAACCCATGCCGTTTGTCTCGTGGAACTGAGGGCCTCAGAAGGTCTACTTGGCCGCCCTCAGCCCAGGCCGAACAAGGGCAGAAAAGGCCCTTCATGAAATCAGGGCCTGGGCATGTGACAGTTGACTTTGGTCAACTGTCGGTCCACCCAACAGTCAAAGTCCAAAGGTACCTAGCCCAGGCCGCAGGTCAAGCACACACACTTGTTTGTACGCAGGTACCCAGACAGCATCAGGTCCAA